TAATTTGCGCGTTCCACAGACGTTATCGACTGATATCTGCTCAGGTCGATCAACCTCACGCACTTGTCTACACCAATACCGCTGGCCGACATGGGCCCGATTCTGATTGGCTGTTAGTTCTATTGCTGCCTTGTTGAACGTACGCTTGACACGATTGATTGTGAACGAGTCACAATAAATCATCCTACCCTGCGTACTGTTTTTCTACTTTGCTAATGGGCTACGGGTCCGAGACTACACTGTTTGAAGTCCAAACGTAACAAGTATTACCCCTAAGTTTGCCATTAAGTGATATTGTGTATTGGTTATACCATCAACACACCTTGACACAAACGCAATATTGTTACTTATAGCACTCTAAAGGGTAATGTGCATTGAATTGCGTGCAATCTTACTGGGTCTAAAAACCCACTGAATAGAGCAAATTCAATGAGAGCCAAGACGGGCTGAGAATACAGTTGTTTATTTTCGGAAAATCATGCAAATTAACATCTTAATTGTCAGTCGATCATTGGCCTATTCTTTGACATCCAATCAAAAAGATGTGGTCCTTTTGTTGGCTTTCCACCAATCAGTCAATCCGTAGCGGGGCATGGTACAGTACTTCCTGTTAGTTTCCCCGATTACAGTAATGCTTTTGTTTCTACTCCATGGCGCTGGATTGTCAGTTACAACCCTATGTTTACTCGAAGGTTATGTTACTGGTAAAAACACTTCACAAAGTTTCTTGGAAAAACCTCTGACTCCCTACCGGTCAATTCAGCGGTGCACCATGGAGCAATGCTGTCCCGTTTTCTTTTCTCTTTCTATATAGGAGAACTAGCCACGGATCCAGATGATCATCTTATCGAGTATACTGATCATGTCACCATGTGTTTCAAATTCCAAGGTGACTTCTGTTTCTCACAGCTTCAAAGCACTTTATCTACCTCAAGCTTATGGCCTTTGTATTCCTAATTATCTATCAATGCCTCTAAATGTAGGGATGTCACCTTCTCACTAGCCGAAGGAGAACCATTATATTCTTTCGAAAGAAATTGCTCCATACTCTATGTCGTCACTCAGTCTGTTCCTTCAGTACGACTTTTACAAAACATAGGTGTTACTCTCTGTTAAGATCTCATGTGGTTTTCACATTTTGACTCTACCATGAACAAGATTCGACGATTGTGTTTATTTCCCGCTTGTTGTTGTTAAATTTTCCACTATATTTAGTCACTTCTTTTGTACATTCTTTTTTAACCAATCACCGTTTTTACTGNGCCCCCCCCCCCCAGTTTTATTTACCGGTTTTATGGTCACAGACTAAGCAATTATACTCCGGTCTGTTTAAATTATTTCACGCACAAGTGGTATTTCCCATTTTCATTTGCTCAATTTTATTACCAAGAAACATTTTACCTCTTGCGCAAAGTTCTTTAACAAAGTTCTATCAGATATCACGCACCCATAACAAACAGAACTTGAACAATGTGTATCCACTTCCGTAACTAGGTGTATTAGAAACTTGTCCATAATAGTACCACCGCATACAGTTGGTCTGTTATCCAAGATATTTCTGGATTTCTGGCAAAGAAAGCATCCGTCAGAGACAACCTGTTAAAAATCCTAGCTTATTGATATCTGTTTTCCCACTTTTACGCCACATTCCTCTTTAATTTCCGCTACTGTATTTTACTTCACTTTTTCAGTAGCCTACAAATAGATCACTGCAATCGGTGTGGCCTCTTAGCTCAGCTAGTAGAGCGTGTGCTGTACAAAAGCGTAGGCGGCATCCATGCGTGGGTTCGAATTCCACCGAGGCTATTGAACTCTTCACAATTTCAACATATAAGGGGTTGTTGATAGTGGAGACACACTCCCTCTCGGTCGAAGGGTCATTTGGGGTGGGGAGAGGGAAGGGGTATGATAAGCCCTATGCGTCTGTGTTCGGGTGAGATTGATTGTGATTGGAGTGTTGGTGGGGGTGGTAATGGTGATGATCAAGTTGGAGCCAGGATAAGTAGAAAGCTGAAACCAGTCGCTTTTGTGCACATAGTTCTGATACGAACACGCGAATCCCCATCGCCTCAGTGTTGGTTAGTGTGTGTAACCCCACTGCCTTAGAGGGGTTGGGGAGCACACGATAGATTACGCTGAAAGTGGATTCTGGTCTAATTTGGTGGCCTCAATCCCCTTGATGACCAAGAATGGCGCTTACTATGCTCCCTGTTTCTCCTTGTTTTAACCAGCATTGGCAGTGTTCCTTCATCCGTCGGGATAATCGCCTTACCTTGCGGCCAATGTACGTTGCATTACAAACGCACCGGAAGGAGTAGATAACCATAGAAGTGGCCAACTTAGGTAGCCTATCGTTGTGGCTAGTTAGAAAGATGGGATTATAAACACACAATTATCGGGCTGCGTTGTAGGTCCACTTCACTACACGCGTCAAACGTTTGTTCAAGAGATCCGAGGTAACATCTCCTTGAAAAGGTAGACGGATAAATAATTTGTTCTTTTGAACCTCATGAACCTGTTCAGGTTGTGGCCTTTCCTGAGATTTTCTCTCGATGGACCGTTCAAAATAAGCATTTTCTTTGAGAACGTCCTAAATTCACCACATTGTCAGAGCCTATCTTGCGCGCCGGCGATGTCAAACTCTGAATCCCAATTCTTATGTCTGAGCGAGACCAAGCTGTAAAAGTCCTGTCCTGTCCGGGTTAGTTTTCTATGTATTCGACGCTCTAAGAAACCATCTTTTGAGAGGACTGCTACGTCTAAGAAGGCCACTTTGTCATTTGATTCTGTTTCCAACGTGAACTGAATCTATTTGTGAGCTTCATTAACACTAGCAACAAACCCTCATATGATCAATCGAAAACAATTGTTCTCCTTCGGACTTGTGTTCTGAAGTTCATTTACTGTAATTTTTTAACCCAACATGCCGTATATTCTATTCCATCCTTTTTGCAACAGCTTGAGGATTCTAAACTAAATGTTAACATATTTTGATGTTTGTCTTCTTGTCTTGATGAAGTGCATAAAGAGGTTCAATGTTTCAGAGTTAAATATATTTGAGGCTACACTAAATATTTGACTAGTGTTGAATATTTCAGTAGTTAAGGTGAGATTCGATAGATTTCAGATTTAGTCTCCTATCTTTGTTACAGATGCCATAGGTGCCTGGCTTCATTTATTTCTATTTCATAACACCACAAGTTACCTGGATTGTTATTTGTATTGTAAGATGAGTTTTGCAAAAGTCTGATACACAGTATTTCAGGAAAAAGTGGCGGACCTTCGGTTCTAGATACTTGTCGCAGTTGTCAGTGCACCAGCTACCAAAAACGAACGTCGGTTTCTCACCTCCGATTAGCTTCCAAAATAAGGGTCATGCAATACCTCCTGAACCTGCACAAGAACTCTGATCTATAGACCGTTTGCATCCTAACAAGAAGTCTGACTTTCAGAATAATGTGCATAATATACTTATCTTTCCCGTTGTAACAAGACTTGGAGTGACTGTGCCCCCTTTCACTTTTCAACCTGGTAGTGGGCATGATTTTTGTTATACTTCCATGCTGAATAGATCACAGTGAATTTAACGTGGTTTCATCCGGCGATTTTTCTTACCTGGAAAGCACAAATGCCAACGTGCTGTGGAGTAAAGATACAGATATTTTACCCGCATTCCTAATAGCACTAGTGCAAGTATATTTATCTGTATGCCCTTTGTGCCTTGAAAGTGTGAAATGTATTTACGGCGTTAAATCGCCCACGCCCTCGCCCTCGGAGGAACAATGGATGAATCAGATAGTCAGAGCTCTTCAGGTGAACGAACTTCCTTTGAAGTGCAAGGACATATATAGAAGACTGAATCTGGATATTAGCCAAATTAGGACACGCACGGTGTCATTTTATGTTCCCAAGTAGACAGTATGTCGTCGAAACAGTTCAAGAGCAACAAAAGTGGTAACCACGACAGATATGCAAAATTTCTTTCATCTTCCTACCTGTGCGAACGCTGTACGGTCTGCATGTTAAATTTCTTTGTTCGTCCCCAATTCCTTTGTTCTGATGGTACTCTTTACGTTAAACCTTTTCATTTATGCTTTCCTTATTGGCCGAACCAAATGGTTGGTCGAAGATAGTAAGTAACCCCAAACCGTCAAACGATTTTTCAAGGTTAATAGTTACAAAAACTGAAAATTGAAACTGATAATGGTCACTCCTATATCAATTTAAACTTTACGTTTGTTTGGAACACTGTATCTGTTTTTTTAAACTGCCAGGAGAAACAAATTATGGACGTTTTTCCAACATGCAAACAACTTTGATCATCACATTGTACATACAGTGACCGAAAGCATCTTAAATTTTTCATTTTTTCCTGACTGTCTGTAGGTACTGACTTGGTGATTCTCATAATCCCTAATCGGCAGTCAGGATATGAGTCGGCAATCACTTAGTAACTTAAACAGGCATTTCCCGGGATAAACATGAAGAGGGAAATCTGTATTTTAAGACTGCGCAACTTCTGTCTTGGACGATTTCGTTGCAGTTCAACTGGTGCCTAATGCAGATAACTCCATTTAAAAAGTTGGCCCAGTCATCAAAGGACGCAGATTGCTGGTGGATTTAGAACAATGTCTTCCACAAACGGTACCCTGTTCAAAAGAAAACACGATGGAAAAGGGTTTCTTCGTAAGCATTGCCTGTAAATCCTAGATTATACGAACTTGAGTCAACCTTAAGATCCAATGGATCCCACCAGTCAAAATTACCATCGTTGTAAGCAGACATGAGTTTATCCTCATAATAACCATATGTATTGCATACATACTGGGTAGAACTGTGCAGGTTGTTAATGCACAAATCGGTGCTCACACAAACTCCATACATCAGTGAGCACTGTGTGCGCTGTGTAAGGCTGATTCATTCACAAATGATCGGTCATCTCGACCTAGTCGGCATTAGTGAATGCCTCTCACAAACACGTGTCGATCACCGTATTCAGGTTAATCGGAGACCAGGGATTTTTTACGCCCGGACGAAATACTACGGACTGTCCGTTTCAATTTGCGCAGAAAACGTCGCCGACCTCGTGTACGTGTGAGAGTATTTGATTCCTCTGCGGAGCTGGAACTTTTCGCACGATATGCATAATTCGCCAGTTGTGCAGATCTGTTCCATTGACATAATTTAAGTCCCGGTGGATGAAGCATAGATTGTGTAGGCCGTGGCGGAGATATTTTTTCATTTGTTTGATCATTACTGATCGATGGGACCAATTCCGATATTAATGGACCTGTCAAGGTGGAGTCATTCGCGGGTTGGTTTACTGTATCACAATCTCTTTCACTGATCATGAGAAATACATTTCCGTCATTTATTTGAGTCACCGGAGGCGGGCTTTCAAGACCGAGAGCAGATCCTTTATCATTCACGGAACTCCATGTGGTTGCTTCGCATACGTCCAAATCTTGTACAGCTTTGCAACTCTCGTTTTCGTCTACAGCACCTCCATAAACTGGAGACTGACATTTACTAGCCAGGCTGGAGTACTGGTTTTCTGTCAGTTCTGATACGTCAGTGACATGAACCAAAGTTTCTTGAGACACGGCTCGTAGGCGAGTAGAACTACGATGGATCATTGCATCATACCACCCCTCTTCAGCCCGATTTGTACATAATGGACTGGTTCGGGAGGGGTGGGTAGGTGAGGACGCCATCAAAAAACCAGAACTGATTCCATCGGAAGGAGTTGGACAGTCATAAGTTCGATCCCACAATGACGCATAAGTGACTGGACCGATAGAACAGGCATGCGATGTAGATGCCATACTGACATTCTGGCATGCAAACGGCTCAGGTCCAGGGATAAACAGAGTGGTCCGAGGAAATTCTAGAGTATCTTCATCATTATTGCTATGTGCATCGGCCCCGGACAAATTGATTAAACAGGAAGAAGCAATAACATCCAGATCCAGTGATGTCAAGGAGCGTGCTGAAATAGTGTGGTAATTCATGCTGTGTGGGTCTGGGGATATTGGTTCCTCCGTTCCGGCACCAGGCTCGCATGAAACCCATTGGGCTTTTTCGTCTGGCTCTCGTGTAGGATGAACGGAACTCACAGCTGGTGGATCTAATGTAAGTTTGTTAGTATCACAATAGGACAATGGGCTATTAGCAACCAATTCGGCACTACGCACTTCTAGAGCGGCAATTGATCGAGTTTGATCTTCGGTGTCTTGATCTGCCGCAATAACTGTTTGAACGCTTTCAATAGCCAAATGCACTGGGGCAGGCTGCTTGTCCAATCGTACTTGTTTATGTACAGATTTGAGTTCAGCGGCAGACGNCGTGTTGACTGGTGGATCGATACAGTTCCTTTCGAGTTTCCGCATTATCATTTGTCGCCCAACGGGTGGAAGTTGAACGTGGAATGCCTGTGGAGATATGGGTCAACATGATTCTTGGTTTGGATCGATTGGCCAAGGGTGGACAATGATATGTTGATGTGTGTTTCTTTATAGTAGCACGAGAATTAGGATGCTTTTGTTTAGAAGGAGCACAACTGGGAGAGAGTTGTGAGTGTCTCGTGGGATACATAGGTTTTGATGGCTGTTGATCCAAACAGTTTAGAACTGAGGGATTCGACTGCAATCTACGAGTCCGTGCCTGCACTTCGCTCGGTAGGTTTTCTAAACCAATGGTGATATACGATCGTTTTGGGGAGTAGTACCACTTTGGTTCTTCCCAGTATCCTTTGGAGGCAATTTTGTACAAAAAATAGTTGTTCATCTGCATTGATTTAGACATTTTTTGGAACTGACGATGATGACTGACTGCAGTGCCACCACGCCCTGCAGGAAACCATGGTGGCTTGCTGTCCTTGTTCTTTTCGAGCCACCAGTTGGATCCCACTCTGGAAGTCATTCGCTGATTTGGTTTTGCTTGTCGCACTGGATGACTTCGTGATCGGTGTGTTGAATGAGCATTTTGGACGGGGGGCCGAGCTTGACATTGCCTATTCCGTTCACCGGGCTCTGACAGACCACGGGCCAATCCTGGCCCTTTGTATTTATTATACGGGGTGGAAATGGGGACTTCGTAAGGATGCGGTTTGGGGTGCGCTGGTATGGAAGCGCATCGTGAGGCAGGAGTACTGTAGCTACCTCCATCCCCTTGAACTTTTATAGGACAGGACATTTTTGGGAAGCCATTGAGGCTTAATCGAGATTCGTTTCCCGGTACAGACACACTTCTTTCAGCCCTCTGCAGCCGAAAAATCGATGTGGAAGTATTTTTCCGTTGGCATTGGTTTACTTGATCCAACTTGTCCGATGAATACACAGTTGTTCGTACTGGGAACGAAACATTTTCGAAATCACCAATGTTCCATTTGTTACAGCGAGTAAACCGAACACCTGGTGAGCCCTTTGCTCCAGTGGGTTGATTGGGTAGGCAGATTTTACTGCCCGACTGATCAGATATGTCGGAGGCGCTTGCACGTGTACGAGAACTGGCAGATTTTATTAGACAGCCATAATTATTAGAACAACCGGTAAATGCTTCCAGTGGGGAGAGTAGGTTGTTTCCAGAATTGCCACATCTATTTCGCAATCCACTTTTCGAGTGCATATCTTATATCTCAACATAGTTCGTGACCTTGAGGCCGTAAGATATTAGACTCATCCCACCTTTGGGCCATATTACACGAGCAAAATCGTTTAAACCCATATCGATCGAACCCACGAATTTGGCCAACTTCAGGTCACGGGACTGAACTAGGCTTCTTCCTAATATAAACCAATCGCATAATACTACAAGATATGTCATATCACGTGCTCCGTATTAAACAAAACGTGTCCGACTGATATTTATGCAAATTCTCGAAGGGACCAAATCAAACGAGGCCAGCAGCACACATCAATTGTGTAACACGAGCAAAAGCCACAGTACATTGCTCCATGGGATACTCAGGATAAGCAAAAATTGCCCAAAATAACAGGATCTGGGCACATGTAGCCGCCAGACATGCGAGTCATTCTCACCGGTCACACAATAACTTGATGTATTATCAACCTGCTCAAACCATCACGGCTGCACAATAGCCGCCCGATCTGAGAAGAGTTAAACTTGTACGAGGTGTGCTTTTTACTTCCATCGAAGACCACAACACAGACTAAATTAATTCACATAGCGGAAGCTTGTTCCAGAACGAAATCCTACGCGTTATTATAATTGAGTCGCATTCTATTTGCCAGGCACCGCTGCCAAAATGAGTAAATGACCACCGCCAGGTTCATGATTCCAAGTTACCAGATGAGTCCTGATGATGAAACGAACTGCGCAAATTTCTTCTATGTAAAACATACAGGCTCATGATATCTCACTGCATTATGCGATAGTAGTGAAATGATTCTCTCATTAGAAGTAACTTAGTTCAGTTTCATTTTGTACAACCATTAACCATATACTTTCGTGCGCCGGTTTTGGTTGCTTTTAGCTACCCATTTGAATGAAGCAGTAGGGGAATGGCAGGGAAGTTGGCAATAACTGTGACATCTCAAACCAACAATCCTCTACCTATCCACAAGTGATGCTACTGTTTTGCAAAAATATGAACTTCCCAATGAAAAGAGAGAAAACATTCCGTTCTAGAATACGATCCCCATCGCGGGAAGAATCCTACATACAAACGAAGATTTTGGGGAAAATAGCTGATGAATACCGCGTGAAAGTCTTGCTCCTTCAGAATGGATTAGTCGAAAGGCCTAAGCTCAATGTGGATGATGATTTAAAAAATATCCGTCAAAATTATACCACTATCTGAGCGAAATGACGAGAATGGACACAACTGAGCAGCGAAGACCGTACGCTGAAGACAGAACAAATCCCGGCCACGTATCACAAAAATCAAAATTATTGAAAAAATACGTATTGAGCAAAAAGCACTTGTATTTATGAAGTGAAGCGCTCCAGGCCACCAAACACATTTTAGGGATAAACCGCTCCTGTCAATTACCCACTTGTAAAAAAATTCGTTGAATTTCATTATTACTAAGAAACTTAGTGATTCGATAGTAGAATGAGGTGAAGCAGTTGACTGGTTTAAAATGATTGAAAAGTAAGCGAGGAAAGGTGCTTTTGTTCTGCCCTCCGACGATTGTTGAATATATGTCGTTTGTACACGCATCCCTCTAGGATATATTAAAAACAATAAGCATGGCGAATCGCAATCGACGGATTGGCTCAGTGGGATCCGTTAGGTTATTACCGGATTGATCACAATTATTATACAATCTGGTTCTAAATTTCCACATTTAACATGTACTCGTTTTTGACTGTTCCACATGCACTTATAGCACTCAGTGCCCTCAACAGTTCTTGTATGGTCGGGAGACGGATGTTTTGGTAATCAGCTCAAAATGTACCGAACTCTTCTGAGAATAACCTCTCTAAAAGCGTGCGTTCTAAACCTTCGTTAGGTAATTCGTGTTCAATCTGGTAATAGCGGTAGCTTTTACTGAGTAGCCATCAGCGTCTATCTCACCTAAACGGGGCAGGATTGGAGAACACCGATTTAAAACCAGCCACGACGCGATTTATGACCCGGTCCCAGAAATACGTAATATACGGCTTCTGGCTCGATTAGGTGTATTGCGCCCCTTTGAGGAATGACAAACGTCCTCCATGTTTTGCGGAATCCACGCACCATTCAATGCCATTTGGGTTGGACTATTCTGCCAACAGCTCGAGGTGAGTCCCTCAAGTCACGTTCTTATTTTGACCGGTTGATAAAAGGTTACTGTTAGTACTTTGGAAACAGAAAAAATCACATGACCGATCCCCTTAGTTTGTCTGTTTCTGTTATATACGATACTGGCATCCCGTCTGTAACTGATTACATACATTCAGTTCAGTTCAGTTCTTACAACCATTAACCATGCACTTTCGTGCGCCGCTTTTGGTTGCCCATTCGGATAAAATAGCTGAAGGATGATTAGAATGTTGAGACCAGATTCAAGCGAAAGGTAGCACATTTTCATAGACTGAAGTTACAAGAATAATGAGTAGATGCATGAGTGCCAGTGTTTAAGACACCCAGCCATATCGCTCAGTGTCTCTAACCATCGATGACCATGATCTCTGGGTCCCAAGACAGGGAGCCTAACGGGACCTATGTGACCCAGTCTCCTGGTCAGGGTTTTCATACCCTCATACCAGGTCTTAGCTTGACCGCCCTTCATTTTTTTTCCAACTGCTACCTGCTTCACCAAGCGTCGCTCGCCGTGGCAACCTATCTGGTGACATGCGTAGCACATGTCCCAACCAGCGTAATCTATGGAGGTCGATCACTTGCTCAGTGGACGACCGCGATTACCTAAAACTCTACGCCTAACCTCAGTATTGCTCGTCCGACTGCCCCACCAGACTCGTGCAATGTTACGTAGACATATAAAGTACAAGAAACATTTCATTGCCATCTAGGTATTTTCTAAGTATGAGAACTGGGCAAAGGAACCTTCAAAACTGGAATGATAGGAACACTTGAGATCGAGTGGAATAGACATGGCACCAGTGCAGAAGGTATTGGAATAATTACGGACCTCGAATGAAAAGCGGATTGAACCTGGTGGGAAAACGTGAGTTTTGAAAATCCCAGTCGAACTTGTGTTATCAGTAAACAAGGATTGAAAATAATACCTAAGTATGTGGAATCCCGTAGTGCGAGGATTACGGATGAATCTTTGAAGAAACGAAAAAAGACAGGATATCTCTGAGGTCAAAACCACGCAGATGAAGTATCCCTTAGCGGAAAGTTAGCGTTGCCAAACTAAAACTATTTACCTATCTAGAGCTGATGCGATCCGTGAGAAAGCAATAAATACTACCCGAAACCTTCGATCCCTGATCTGATAAGCGAATGAACTAGAGGAGAATGAAACAAATCAAAAAAGAAAGCGATCATCTTCTGAATACTCATACAAAAATCAATGATTGGCGGCAATCCAAAATACCGCAATTCCCATTGTGAAGTCGCAGTTGAAAGCAACCTAATCGAGTGATAGTTGTACATGAAACAAGTGTCGGTGGCAATGGGTGAGTGGGTAAAATGCATGAATGTACAAATGGTTCCGGGATATTTGCAGGGGCATAGTGCTTAACCACATACACTGTTCGTGATGAGGTGTCACGATGGAAAGTAACCAGTCGGTGAATATTGTTCTCCAATTCGAATTCACAGGAAAACTAAGTGGTTTTGCAATCGAAGAGAAGTGAGCAGCATATGGCATAGTGAACGAGATTCTCCTTCAGTTAGATGAGCCCAGATAGTTACCCGGGAGAGATCGAATATCTTTTTCGGGTTTCTTGAAACTTTTCAGGATTGGATAGATGTTTCGAAAGGCTTCGTAGATTTCATCTCGGACCTTAGCACCTAGAAATAGATGAAAACAGCACCATCAAATATTGCCAGGGCAAAGGTAAATTCATGGCCGAAATCACATGCAGCTGGATAAGGGGAACTATAACATCTAAACTGAATAACATGAATGAAATAAAAAATGTAGATTTTCTAATATAAATAATCACTTACACCTTCAGAGTTCGGAATAGGCCTGAGGAAGCATAGTTGAAACACTGTTTCGGATTTGAAACGACTGAACCAAGTCAAGTAATTAATATATTATTCATTGATATCCTACACTTGTCTAGATGAAGACTGCGTCAAACAAATAACGGTGCGATGGTTGTATTATGAGGAAGTTAGTGCGTGGTTGGTTCGTAGGTGAAACACCTCCAGATTGCCTAAATCAAAAACAGATAAAACTTTTGGAGGATTCATCATTAGAATGTTCTGCCGGACAACACTTGACTTGTGAGGCGTCGAGGAGGTTTAGTATAATCGCACTGTTGGGTGAGCGGTGTACCATCAGCAGGATCATCCATCCTCTGAGAGCTATCCACAGGTTCAGAGTGCCCGATACGTTCTATTGCCAACTGAATCCCGTGACAGTAGCGACCAGGATGTCCTGGAGCCGTCAACACATTTCTTTTTACGAAGTTGGCTGTCTACGATTTACCAACCTAGCAATAACCCCAGATGTTCCCTTTCCACCTTTTTACTTAAGTGAAAACAGCAGGTGCATTAAGAGCGATTATATTCGAATATTTTATTGCTATGATACGCGATAAGTTTCAAGCTGCTAAGGTTTCAAAGACTTCAAACACACGGAACTGTGCTTTACATACCCCATCGGATAAACTCTATGGTAATAATTTTGAATATCGCTAAAATTTTTAGTATTGCAGCTAATGTACACCTATTGGAAATTATCGTTCTACTTCAAACTTTAGTAGTATGTGACCCAGTGAGGAAATTCGACGGCTACAACTGCCCAGTGTAGTTTGATAATCCGACATGTATGCAGCTCTTTGATGGGCCGCTTCCCCCATCCTGAAAACCGTATCATCAAGTATTCAATATAAAGGAAGTAAACATATAACATGCCTCCCAAGGCCTCAGTATGGTTGGGGGTGGGTGTCTAGGGTTGCGG